CCCTTTGTAATTAGTAATCTGTGAAAAGATACTTGGAAACTATGGAAATATCTGTACTTCATCAAACTTTCACCTGCAAGTTTTAGCATTCACTGACAACTCTCACCTAATTTATGATCTATGACTCTGTGTATTGTGATTTATTATTATTCAATGGGCTATGATCTATGACTTTTTATTTATTTATTTATTTATTTTTTATTTTTTTTTTTTTTTATATAGAGGCATTCAACCTGGGGTTAGATCCCTAGCAGCAACCCACCCCCCTAAAAAATAAAAAGCTGGCCTGTAATGATGATACTGAGTCTCATCCCTGGCTCTTTGGACCTCTCTAAATTGCTAAGGCTGGCTTTGAATTAGGCACACACCACCATGCCTGGCCTGTGAGGACTTTATTGTTCAAATTACTCTAAACTTTGCCAGTAGCAATCCCTTTAGGCTATTGTGCTCCCTGACATACCAATCATTTTTTGAGCACTTCCTTATATTCTGGCACAAGACGTTCATATGTTCAATTTGTACATTCCCTCAATCCAGCCTTGGAATTAGTTATTTCTCCAAGGAGTCTGGTTCATATAATGGAATATGGTATTTAGAAATCAAGATTTGTGTACTAGGTGTCCTCTGCACCTAATCTGACTCAATGAAATTAGGGTATCTAATCAGAAACTCCACCAAGTTGGGTATTAAGTGAATGTGACTTGTATACATTCAATAAATGTTTACTAAATAAATGAATGTGATAAATGAAGGTAGGATTTTGCAATCCGAAATCTTAGCTAAACCTGCAGACAGTAAGAGGTTTATACTACTGTATTTTATGTTGCCTTTGAGTTCTAACTCACTTCTTTAATAAGGTAATTCAATGATTTCAAACCAAAAGGGTACTCAGTAGTAGAGTACTTGCCTAGCATGCACAAAGCCCTGGGGTTAGATCCCTAGCAGCAACCCACCCCCCTAAAAAATAAAAAGCTGGCCTTTAATCCTATGTGGCAGGAGGATTGCCAGGTTGAAGACAGCCTGGGCAACTCAGCAAGGCCCCATCTCAAAATAAGTAAAAATGGGGCTGGAGTTATAGCTTGGTGGTAGAGCGCTTGCCTAGCATGTGTGAGGCATTGTGTTCAATTCTTAGCACTGCATATAAATAACAATAAGGCACTGACAACTGAAAAA